GCTTGATCTCCATGAAGGCGTTATTTCTCGGTGACTGAGCCGGTGAACTTCCCTGCCTAGGGTGAGCTGTTGGAATCCCTGCTGTACCCTGAGGTCTGTTGTCCTTTGGGTATTTGCCCAAGAGTGATATCACTGGGTCTTGAGGTAGATTGATTCCCAGTTTTCTGAGGAAATTGATTTTGATTTTCAGAGTGGCTGTACAAGCTTGCACTCCCACCAGCAGAGGAGAGGAGCGTCTCCCTGGCTTCACATTCTTGCCAGCACGAGCTATCAATAATGTTCTTGATCTTAGCCTTTCTGACAGATGTAAGGTGAAATCTCAGAGTCGTTTTGATTTGTAGGAAATTAATCTTGAACTGCTAGTGGGGCAGAGTGACTTTAAGGGTTGTATAACGCCTTCATATGAGAAAAAATGCAAAGAGAAGCAAGTAAAACAATTGAGAGAGAGCCGCAGGACCTGGAAGATTGCCAGCACCCGCGGTTATCCACACCGGCTTTGCCTCTGAGTTAAGAAGGGGGCAAGAACTCACTACTGAGGGTTGGATGTTTGCACAGACATAAAAAGTACATTCCCAAACCATTCCCTTGCACTCTCTGTTTCGTGTCTATTGTCAGCAAGCTCTGTAAGGTACCCGGGAATCCTGCTATATCCTATGCAATGCTTTAGGTCAGCCCTGAAATCATACACACGCAAGTGACACTAAATGGACACAGTAGATTGTGTGTGTGTGTGTGCGTGTGCATGTGTATGTGCGTGTACTAAAAGGGACCATGAGTTTGAGAGGTAGGAGGGGAATATGGGAGGGTTTGGATGGAGGAAAGGGAAGCTGGAAAGCGATGTAAATATATTTTAATTAAAAAAAAATCAAGGGCTGGAGAGATGGCTCAGCAGTTAAGAGCAGTGGCTGCTCTTCCAGAGGACCCAAGTTCAATTCCTAGCACCCACAGGCAGCTCACAACTGTCTGTAACTCCAGTTCCAGGGATCTGACACTCTCACACAGACATATATGCAGGCAAAGCAGCAATGCACTAACATAAGAATAAATAAATCATTAAAAATATTTTAAAAAATAAAAGTTAAGCAAAGAAACAAAACCTGACCATTCTTGTATACAGAAGCCCCCAATTTAAAAGTGTGCCAGTAGACTTGGCAAATGCCCTTGCGCCTGTCCCTCCCCTGGGCTGATGTCCCCGGGCAGTGTGGATGGCTGTAGTTAGAACTCCAGACTTAAGAACCTGGCCTCCAGCTCTGCAGCCGGCACAGGGTTAAGCTACCTGCGACTGAGATGCACCTCTTTGCCCAGCACTTAAACTAGGGGTCTGGGGCTCGAGGTGAGTTTGCATCTGGGTCTCCTCCCTGGCAGTGTGGTGTCTGCTAACTTGTCACTCCCCGAGGCTGTTTGGTCATCTGTAACACATGAATCGTGACACCTCCTTTGGAAATTTTGTGTGAATTAAATGAGATTATGCCTGCAAGACGTCCTTGATCAGAATCCTCCAGTCCCGATCAGCGACCGGTCCATGGGCAGGAGCCTAGCTTTTTCTTTGGCATTGTTTAGTGAGCTTCGCCTCCGATTCCTGTTGCAAGGGTTGCTTTACCAAAGTCCCGTCCCACCTATTGCTGGAGCCCGCCTTCTTGATTTTCAAGCTACGCACTGAAAGCTAGCATCGGTGCTCAGTCCTCCAGCCCCCTTTACCCGAGGCATTCAGATCCAGCCGGACTTGGCAGCCTGTGTGACCAGGGTGTGGGTGGCCATTTAGCCAGTGCTCTCAAGTCATGGCTTATGTGCAAGGATTGAGGGGCCCAGAACAGTAAAAACGTTGCCTCATTTCTTTTGCCCTTATAGCATCCAAGAAACTGGCTCAGCAGCATGCATCAGTGAGGGAATTACCCTGTTTCTTTGAGAGACCCCAGGCGTGAGCAGCAGAGGAACCCCTGGCAATGTCGCCGAGTAAGCGTTACCCCGTCCCGTGGCTGGAGCCCTGGCATAGCTGTAGGTTTCCCTGAGTACAAGTTCCTGGCATTTCAGGGCCTGTGCCGTGTTGTTTTTCGTCTCTGCTGCTGTGTAGGAAGCAGCCTGGAGAGTCTGAGCCAGTGTGGCGCTGTTCCAGCAAAATTTCATTTGCAAAACAGGTGCAGGCTGGATTTGGCCTGTGGGCTGTACTTTGCCAACCCAGGCCTAGTAGACACTTGAGAGGCAGCTGGGACTAATGGGAAAAACAAATGGGAAATCACAGGTGGGTTTGAGGGGAGCACACGTCTGCCTCTTTCCAGTTCTGGCTTGGCTAAGTCTATATATAGAGCTCAGGAGCCTTGACTCGCTGGCTTGTCACGAGAGGTCAGTCAGGAGAATGGTGTCTCTGAGGGAAGAGCCGTTGGGGACGACTTCCAGTCCACTCAGGGCTGAAGCTCTCTGCACGTCCACTTGTTTGTTTTCAAGCACGACGCCCAAGTGGAAGAGGCGTGTGGTCTTGGGTGGGCCCTGTGGAGTTGGTGCTGTTACTGGCCGTGGCTTTCACAGCTGAGCAGATGAGCCGGTTAGGCTGGTCCAACCAAAGGAGAGCTAAAGTAAAATACCCCAGCGTTGGATGAGTGGCCCTTGCATTTTCACCTTTAAAGCAAAGATTAGGCTGGTTGGTGGGGGGAAAACGGTGATCTGTCACCCAGCCTACCAAGGCCTCAAGTCCCTTCCTCAGCCAGGCTCTGTCACCCAGTCACTTGGTATCACACCCATGGGGAAGGAGTCAGACAGCAGACTTCTCCGTCCTGCAGGAGTTCACAGATAACACGGAAAGGAGGAGGTGTGGACAGCATGCAAGCCAGGCAGCGTGGCAACAGCCCACCACATCCCCGAATAAGCCAGGCTTCTCTGCCAGACTCTGACTCTATGCTTCCCAGCAAGATTCCAGCCCCTCCTCCCCGGCCTGGCTTTCCACTTCAGCCCGGCCAAGTGTCCCATCCTCGTCACAGGCTTCCTCTGAACTCAGTCATCTGGCCCCTCGCTGACAAGGGCATTTGAGCGACTATTACATACCAGGAAACACGGCTGTGTCTGAGGGACAAAACTCTATTGAGCTTATGCCTTTCAAGATATGCAAGGAGGATTTCTGTGATATTCGTCTGTTTATGGTTAATTAATATATAGCTTATTGCATTCAGAAATGAAAAAAACACCTGCACACATATGCTGCCCATTAGTTCTGCTCTGATCTGTTTTTAAAAATGAAATTCTTGGCTGGAGAGATGGCTCAGTGGTTAAGAGCACTGACTGCTCTTGCAGAGGACACAAGTTCAAATTCCAGCATTCAGCTGGTGGCTCATAATAACTACAGTCCCGGGGAGCCGATGCCCTCCTCTGGCCTCTGTGGTTACTGCATTGTGAGAACGACACACAAATTAGAAACTTTAATAAAAATGCAGGTTTGATGACTGGGTGTGGTGGGGCACACCTTTAATCCCAGCACTCGGGAGGCAGAGGTGGGAGGATCTCTGTAGTTCAAGGCCAGCCTGGTCTACTGGGTTAGCCTCGACTGCACAGAGACCCTGCCTCAAAAAACAAAAGCAAGCAAGCAAACAAACAAAAACGAAAAAAAAAAAAAACCCGTAGGTTTGTTGTGTTACTGGCAGTAAATTTAATAAACTTGATCCTTGTCTAAGGTTGTATCTGTCAGAGAGGGTGCTGCACTGAGAACAAAATTCTTATTCCTAGACAGCTTCTGATGTTAGCACCCACTGAGTCAGTTACTATGGCGGCACTGCAAAAATAGCTTTCTCAGTTCGGTCATTCTCCCACACTTAACCAGGCAGTGGATTTCTTTACGGAAGAGCCTGTCTGGTACTCCCTACGGTAGCCACATGCTCTTGGCTCTGATTTTTATTTACTCTGCTATGATCTGTTACTGTACTTTGAAAGTAACGCTGTTTGCTATTGAGGTAGAGTGTGCAAACCAGTGAAATAAACACGGTGAGTGTAGAATTTGATTAATTATAGACAGGGTATCAGATCCTTGGAGCTAGAGTTATGGAGGGCTGTGAGCTGCCATGTGGGTGCTAAGCACTGAACCTGCCTGGGTCCTTTGCGAGAACAAGCGCTTTTAACTGCTGAGCCATCTCTCCAGCCCATGTTGTAGTCTCCTTAACAGCAAAAACCACTGTTTCCTCAGTGGTCTTCAGGTCCTTCTTTTTAAAAATCCCACTACAAGAGTATCGTAGCTGACACTTGGACACGTGTTCTTGCCCATTTAACTGAGCCTTTTGGCTTTCACTCTAGAAGGGGTAGGTTTTATTTTTTGACCAGAGACTTTGTGCATTTTTTCATTTTTGTTGGCTCCGCCACATCCCCTCTGTCCCACAAAGCTGTACGTCTTCATTTCAAGATTGCTGGTTGGTTCATCCTCATCAGGTCTGGATTTTGCCAGTCTGTGTGTGCGTGATGGCGTGGAGTTTGAATTTGGACTCAACCCCCGTGCAAAGTGAATCATCGTTTCTCCTTTCCGTTCCAGGCTCCCCAGATTTGATTCGCACAGAAGTCAAGTCTCTCCTCGAAGAGAAGTCCAAGGAGGGTGTTCTGTTCTCTGGCATTCTGTGTCCCTTTCGTCACCATGGCTAGCATTAGGCAGAGGGCGATCTTACTGCCATTGTTCTGTATTACTGGGGAAATAAATGCAGGGAGGAAAGAAACCACGTGCTGAAGGCTTCTGGTCCTTCTGGGACTCTTTCCATGTCATGGTTTACAGTTTGCACTGTGCAGCTGTACCCTTGAGTGACGGTCAGAACCGACTTTAGTGTGAGCCGTGATGACTGCACCCCTGGGGTATCAGGCTTAGCATTCAACACGCCTGCTCTCTGATAGAGCAGCTAGTAGTCACAGCTTTCTCGACTTTTGTCCTAAACACCAAGTCTTAGACGAACTGCCCGTGTGGATGCCTGGCAACTTTGTTTTCCTCCCAGGTGTTCGAGTGGAGGCAGCTCTTTGCAAGTTTTCTCTTTTCTTCCTAGGTGTTCGAAGCTGTGATTTCATGGATCAATTATGAGAAGGAGACTCGCTTAGACCACATGGCAAAGCTGATGGAACATGTCCGGCTCCCTCTCTTACCTAGGGATTACCTAGTTCAGGTCAGTGTCTGTGTGGCCAGTGCTGGAGGAGAGCGGAGGCCACGCTGGCTGTGTGGCGTGCCTGTGGCATGTCCTGAGTCTCTGTGTGGATGGAGGGCGGCAACCCCCTGGGCTAAGTGTGGAGAGCTGTTGTAAGGACTAAGCAACTGTGAGGGTCCGGGCAGGCGGTCAGCACGGAGCCTGTAACCTGCTCCACACGTGCTGGTTCTCTCTCGGAAGAAGAGAGACAGGAACATCATTTCATGAGGCCCCAGTGTTCGGCCTCTGCTGTGCTCTTAGGCAACCTGAGAACCAGGCAGGACTGTGAAAACTGACTCTTCATAGGTGCACAGAGCTCTGTTTCCTCCAAGAGAAGAAGGAGAATTAAGCAATCTTGGGTGCACTTGAGTGTTCTCATTTAGTCTATGTAACAACCCTTTGAGGCAGTGGTTACAGACCTCTTGGTTACGCTGCCCCCCCTCCCCCCGCCTTGAAGCCTGGAGACTGAGTTGGATCTGAGGTCTCTGGCAGGAGGGAGTCAGGATGGAGATTCACGTCCACACGGCTCTGAAGCACACACTCCCACGAGCTTCACCTTTGATAGCCTCTGTCTCATTTACACACAGGGTGACTTATTTTGTAAATGTTAGACTCTCTTGCAAACCTTCCGAATGTGACTCTGAGGCTGTCGAGGCAGTTGGCCAGCCCTCAGCGGTTCCCAAGGAATGCTCGCTCGTTTACAGGGGTGAGAGAGGGTGCTGAGCGGGCCAGCAGCACCACCTTGCTGGTGTGTCACTCCCAGCCACCCTTAAGGGCTAGAACCTCAGTCTCTCATCTGGTCAAGATGACACCAGCCCTGACAGGATGGTGTGGGGACAAAAAGAGATGGCTCACGTAAGACCCGTGACAGTGTTGGGTGACTGCTAGCTGATAACTGATGTCTGGGGCTACAGGGCGGCTTATTCCTTGGGTACTTGTGCAGTGCTGTGCACATGTCCCTATTGTTCAGGCCTGACTGCCAGTGAAATGCCCTCTGTCTTCTTGTGTGACATCTTTGCAGGTACTTAGAAGTGTGCTGGGAGCCCCACAGTGCTGCCACCTAGTGGCCGCACGCCACCCCCCCCCCCCCCCCCGTTGGCCTGAGTTACCAATGTTACTGCCAACCCCACTCTGTCCCCTGGAAACTGCCTGGGGGGAGTGGCCTCCAGCACAGACTCAGTTTCCACAGAGAGCTAAGGAAGCTGCCGAGGCCCCACATCAGACACTTACCAAAGACACTGTCTTATTCCGGTTAGCACAGAAGGTCAGGTTTGTTATAGAAAGAGGGCCAGAGGCAATGGCCTGAGAAAGGTTTTGTGGACCTCCCACCCCCTTAAAAGGGACTTTTATCCGTCCTCAGGAGGTCAGCTCTAGGAAAGGATGCTTCACTAACATTATCTGACCCTGAAACTTAGAGTACTTTAACCTGATGGTGGTTCAGGAGGAGGCGGGGTGAGCGGTCAGCCCAGCACTCAACAGTGTGCAGCCTTCAGGCTTCTCCCAGCACTCAACAGTGTGCAGCCTTCAGGCTTCTCCCAGCACTCAACAGTACGCAGCCTTCAGGCTTCTCCCAGCACTCAACAGTACGCAGCCTTCAGGCTTCTCCCAGCACTCAACAGTCCGCAGCCTTCAGGCTTCTCCCAGCACTCAACAGTACGCAGCCTTCAGGCTTCTCCCAGCACTCAACAGTGCGCAGCCTTCAGGCTTCTCGGTTACAGACAGTTACTCAGCTTCTCCCAGACATTTTAAAGCAGTATTCAAATGGATACTGTGCTGTTCTGTGACAAAAACACAGCATAAGCTTCATAACTTTATCATTCTCATCAAAGTTTTTGTTTCATGTGTATGAAGGTTTTGCTTGCACGTGTGCTTGTGTGTGTCTGGTGCTCGTGGAGGCCAGAAGAGGTCAATGAATTCCCTGGGGTTATGGACAGCTGTGAGCCACCTTGTGAGTGCTGAGGATGGAACCCAGGTCCTCTGGGAGAGCGGCCAGTGCTCTAACCGCTGAACCACCTCTCCAGCCCCCATTCTAATCATTGTTAAGTGTGCAGCTTGGTGGCATTGGTGACCTCTGGACACCATCACCATGTGTGTCTGAGGCCTACTTCTCACCCTGTCCTGTAGCTGAACCTGAGTGCCAGCTCCCCAGGGGGGCTTCTACCTCAAGCCAAAGCGGCTCTTTGGGACCAGCTGCCTGAGCTTTGGTGCCCTCGACCTACTTCTTTAATCCCAACCCTTTATGTTTGTTCCAGCCCAGTTCTTCCCCTACTGGGAAGGAGAAAGTAACCCAGGTTACGTCTGGGAAAAAGAGGTCTCTCGAGGCTAGGGCCTTGTTTCTTTAATCCATCTTCCCTGCCAGCTCCCAAGCTGCCAGAAGGTGTTAGTTAGCCCTGGTCACATGTCCACTCTTCACTGCTGATGGGGCCAGGCAGGCTCGGCCAGGCCTTCTTTGTACATGACTGTCTTGAGGGCTAAGTGAATCCCCTTCCTCCATTTAACCTGCTCGTGTTCCTCCACGAGCCTTGTGGTGCTCATCAGTGTCTTCCTTGGGGCTAGCTCCTCAAATAGAAGCTGTTGAGTCTGTACCCATGATATGCCCATTTTGTAGATGAGGAAATCGAGGATCAGGGATTCTTTGTGGTGGAACAGGGATCAGAGGTGGGGCTCTGAGGGCCTTCCTTGGTGTGTGGGGTGGGGTGGTAGAGAAAGGAATGAGTGAATGTTGGGAATGATCCACCCTGAGGAGAGGCTAGGGACGCGTGGCCCCACTATGCTGGAGGGTCACCTGTGGACTGTTATCCCCAGACAGTCGAGGAGGAGGCTCTGATCAAGAATAATAATACCTGTAAGGATTTCCTCATCGAAGCCATGAAGTACCATCTACTACCCCTTGACCAAAGGCTCTTGATCAAGAACCCCAGGACCAAGCCCCGGACTCCGGTCAGCCTGCCCAAGGTAAGCCCCGGCCCAGCCTCTGCCGATACTCAGGACTGTCCAGGTGGAGAGGCCTTCCACTCTCTCTGCAGTTCTTTCTGGCTCAGGATTGTGTTTGTGGCCCAAGAGATGGAGTCTGTTGGCTCCTCTTGAATTCGCCGGTACTTCTCTCTGCTTTGCTTAGAGTCCCAAGGTGGCGACAGCGGCTTCAGGAGATCTGAGCATAAGGTGGATGCCCCCCCCATTTTACATCCACGCTGTGTGTGTTGCTCCAAGAGAAGCAGGGGATTGGGCGTGCTTCACAGTGGGGGTCAGGGCACTCCCAGTTTGGTGCCTTTCCTCATCCTGGGAACCCATATGAGGGACAGCTAGGACTGACAGACAGTGGAGCAGGGCTGGAAGCTGGGGAACCGAGAACCTGTGGACAGGAAGGTGCTAGGGGATCCTGAGGTTCAGAGTAGTCAGTGGGGGTGCCGAGTGCCTGGTGCTCTCTCTCTCTGGTCTGCATGTTTCTCATCTGTGGGATGAGGGAGGTGGGACAGGTGGTCCCTAGAGTCCCCAGGCTTGTCAGTAACATATTGATGAGGTGGGGTGGGTGGGTGAGTAGGGGTGGGGTGGGGGATGGTCTCAGTCAACCAGCAGGGAAGGGAGGCAGGAATGAATCACTTTAGCCACAGACTACACAGCAGGGTGTTACAAGGAAAATGTTTAGACTCCTACTCCATGATCCTCCTCCCCTTCTCAGCTAACTCCTGGCTCTCCTTGCCTGCTGCTAACACTAACCCAGCTAACTGCTAACATTGCCCAACACTAATTACTTGGCCCCCACCATCCTACCGCAGCCCCATCCCTCTGGACCACGAAAGATATGGCAGATGCAGTGTCAGCTGGTACAAAGCAGCTGGGTCTTTATGAAGTTCTTGTCTTAGTCAAGGTTACCATGGCTGTGATGAAACACCATGACCAACTACAGCGTGGGGAGGAAGGGGTTTGTTTGACTTACACTTCCACAGCTCTGTGCGTCACTGAAAGGAGTTAGGATAGGAGCTCAAACAGGACAGGGACTTGGAGGTGGGATCTGATGCAGAAGCCATGGAGGGGTGCGGCTTACAGGCTTGCTCCTCATGGCTTGCTCAGACTGCTTTCCTACAGCAGCCAGGACCCAGGACTTCAGTCCAGGAATGACATCACCCACACTGGGCTGGGTTCTCCTCCCCCAATCACTGATTCAGAGAATGCCCCACAGGCTTGCCTACAGCCCAGTCTTATAGATGCATTTTCTCAACTGAGAGGGTCCCTCCTCTCAGATGACTTCAACTGTGTCAAGGTGACATTAGATGAGCCAGCGTGGCTGTGTTTGATGTAAAAGTCTCCACAACCCTGAGCACTGGTCCCTACAGAGCCGGAGGTTCGCAGAAGCTGGATGACTTGTCCAAGTGTCAGCCCAGCCAGTGTGGTGGTCATCCTCCCCGACATCTGTTCTCTGAACCACCCCTACTCCTGTGCAAACCTGAGTGTGCGCTTGCTGGCTGCTCCTGCCACCCCACGTCCACATAGGTGCAAGAACAGGGTTAGAGACTTGGTCTCTCTGGTCATCTGCCTTACAGTCCCTCAATGTCTTTTGTTTTGTTGAAACATTAAACTGAAACTTATTTTATTATATCTGATTACTCTCTCTCTCCCCTCTCCCCCACCTCTCTGTGTCTGTGCGTGTGCATGTGTGTGTACATCTGGTGGGATTCCATTCTCCTCTCCCCACCTCTCTGTGTGTGTGTGTGTGTGTGCATGTGTGTCCGTGTGTGTGTGTACATATGGTGAGAGTTCGTTCTCCCTTCCACAATGTGGGACCCTGGGGTTGAACTCCTGTTGTTAAACTTGGAGGCAAATACTGTGACCCATTGAGCCATCTTGCTGGCCCATTCTGTATTTTTTAAATGGAGAAATGTACATTTTCTGAATTACACAAATATAAACTTACTTCATCTTAGTAAGAATACACAGAGCTAGAAGGAGCGTGGAAGCCACCTGGATTCCCTCCATTGTGGCCACTGCTCTGCCAAGTTTTCTTTTCAGAAATATTTCTGATCATTTATTAATGAATAACTGAAAATGTACATTTTTATGTCTGTGGGATCTTCTGTATGGACTGAACTATGTTTCTCTGCCCTCCGCTTAACTAAATGCCGCAAACTGCGTCTCCTCCAGCACGTGTGAACGAAGCCAGCGTTTGAACTGTAATGGGTACATGTGTTTTGTTTATGTCTGTATCTCATGTACCTCACAACTCTCCACTGATAGTCTGTGAAGCAATTTCTGTTTTTGTATTGCAAACATATCTGTGTTAAATATTTCTTTATTAAATGACGTATTTTTGTCTGTGTCTCTTTGATCTTGAGCGATATTAATCTCGGTTTTATGTCATTTTTATTTGTATTTCTTTTTGGGGGAACTGTCTGTTTATGCCCTTTGTTCCTGTCCCTAACAGATTGCTTTTTTTTCACTGGTAGATCTTAAGGGCCTTTTCTATATTAAAGGCATCAGGCCTTGGTATGTGCATAGTTTTAGTTTGAGGTTTTAAGCTCTTCATGGTGTTTTCTCCCAGCCCATGCTTATCTTTTTGTTTTCTCAGTAGTGTGGAATTCATAAGAATTAGCTATTTCAGTTGACAAGAAAAATTGTATATGTTTATCATATAGTAGTGATTTAAAATATTTTAAAGTATGTGTACATTATAGAATGGCAAAACTGAGTAAAAACCAACATGTATTATGACCACATATGCTTTTTTTTTTTTTGTGGCGAGAACATTTAAATTTTACCCTTACTGATTTTCAACAATGTAACATTTTATTAACTGTGGGCACCATGCTGTAGAACAGAGCTCTGGAATTAGCCTTTCTACATGAAACAGAAGCTTTGTACCCTTTAATTAACGGCTCCCCAGCCACCTTCCCTCCCCCCTGCCTGTTGTAATGGCTGTAACTCTGTCTCTGAGTTAGCCTGCTTTGGACTCTGCGTGTAGGTGAGAGCTGTCCTTCTGTCTGTCCTTCTGTGCCTGGGTTATCCTAGTGCTAGGCCCTCTGACTTCAAACATGTTGCAAATGACGAGATTTCCTTCTTCTCCCAGCCTGAATACTATCCCGCCACATTGTGTCCCGTTTTCTGTTTGTCTTGTCATGGTACAGGCTGAGGCCACCGCGGACACGGCTGTAGTTCTCACCACAGTGACAGTGTCTTCTTGACAAGCTGGCTTCACGCTCCTTGGATACATATGTGGCAATGTGATTGCTGGATCATATGTCGGAGCTATTTTTAACTTTCTGTGGAGTCTCCACACTGTCTCCCAAAGTATGCTCTGAATAGCAGGTGCCAACAGTTTCAAATTCTTTCTGTGGTGGTTTATTTTGAGTTTAAGCTGAAAACAAACAGCTCTTCCCCAAACTTACACTTTTTTCCCCTGTAAGTTGGAACCTATACATTTAAATCTATGGCTCTTTCTCAGAGGATCAAAATATGTTATATTAAGTAAGGATCAAGTTTCATTTATTCTGATAAGAATATGTTCATGCCACAGGCTGGGGGGACCCTCCCCCCTCAGTCCTTGCCCCTTTAGCTGTACACTTGGCCTGTTTCTGGGTTTATACTCTGCGTCTTGTGTGTTCTGTCTGCCCCGTGTGAGTCACATGACCTCTCTCATGGACCGTAAATCCCGAGGTCCCACTGATGCCTCAGTTTTGTTCTTGGCTGTGGTGTCCGCTTATTTCAGAGTCGGCTCCTTTTCACCAGGGTTGGAGTCCGTCTCTAGGTTGATGCAGGAATTATCTGGCGGTCTGCCATGCGTCTGTCCCTGTTTACTAGCTCCGTGACTTCTCTCAGTGATGTTTTCTCTTGTCCACGCATGGCTTTTGCTTGCTTGCTGTCAGTTTTATTCATGGGTATTTTGTTCTCTTTCTTTTGGCAGTACTGGGAGTAGCCTAGGGCCTCACACAAGCAGTGTGCTTAGGAGACTTAGTGCCGATCCTTCATACCACAATGTCTTCCTTCTGAGATCTGACTTTTGTTAGTTTATCACTCGTGCATGGAAATACAGTTGATGGGGAAGGGTATTTAATGGCTGTGTTGGTGACGTAAACGTTTGTCTGTAAAGATGTTGGCTTTGGGAGCACGTGTGCACCCAGGGTTGAGGCTTTGCCAACTATTTAGGGTTCCCTTCTGCAGTGTGCACTCTTCACTAAGCTGCATGTTTGGTGCAGCAGGCAGTGTCCGCTGGTGTCCTTGGCACACGGCCCAGATCCTGGCACAGAGTGGCCGATAGTGAAGGTTCTCGTGAATGATAGATATTTTTTTTAAAAAGGAGCCATGGTATGGGATTTAGCACTGACCTCTTTTTTTGCCTCTCATTTGTTTCCCCTGCCTTCACTGCCCACACACGTGTTTTTGCACAGGTGCAGTAAGGACGTGCACCCCACATTATAGAATATTCGGCACAGCTCACAAAACCATCCAGCCCTGAGGGAACCTAGCCACCATCCCTGGGAGACTAGAAGATACTTAGATGAAATAAACAGACCTCAGACTCCAGTCTGCTCTCGGCTGTCAGCTGTCATGTGGAAATCAATTCATTTAGTGCCTTTCCACAGTGGCCCAGCACGGGGTAGGTTGCAGTGTGCACAGACTCGTAGCTGTCCGCTCTTCAAGAGACTCCCAGGTAAAGGGAGGGGAGACAGATGTGCAGGACAGTTATGTTATCCGAGTGCCATAATAAAGGATGCCCAAGATGCTCTAGTACCATGGAGTAGAAGAAGAGGAATTTATTGTTTGTTTATTTCTGGGCTGGTACCCAGGCTGAGTGCCCAGAGTTAATGCAGACTGTCTATGGAGCTCATGTCTGGACACTGGCTCCCACTCTCTGAGGGCGACTTAGGGTGATGGGTACTTTATATCTTACTTCTTTCTGGGTCACTGTCGTGGTCACACAAAGTGTCCACGATGACACAGAATATTGCTTGCATGGCAGTTGC